AATTCAAAAAGAAATAAAAAAAAAAAAAAAAAAAACTAACGACAACATTACTTATATATGTTGTGCAAACAAAGATGTTTGGGTCCCCACATATAATTTTAAAAATTAAATTAATAAAGTAGATCCCGAATAATTGAGACTTAATTTTTGTTGATTAAAGTTAGTCCTGTCTAGTGGACGTGGCATTACTGAAAATGTCACTGCTCAGCTACCAAATTATTTTTTGCTCGCTGCACACATTGTGGTCGCCATCCCAGCCTAATATCTGCTATGTGGAATCCACGTGAACAGAGATACGAGTTCGCGGCCACTACAAAGGATCTAGCTTTCAAGATGGGTATCTTTTTAGAGAACTTTATACTCGCATCACATAAATTTTATATATTTATATCTCTAAGACCTAAATTTAATTTGATATTTATACTTACTATTATTGAATCCAAAAGTATTTGGAAAACGCATCAAATGAATAGAAACGTTCTGCTAGTAAGTGATTAGGGAGAGAGAGAGAACTATGGAACAGTAAAGGTGTGTTCTTTATCCATGACTTGGAACCCTTTTTATAGGCATATAATCCAACACTACATAAATATAAGTTAACCCACTCATCATTAAATTTTCACGAGGATTTATTAGTAATCACAGAGTTATTCGCATATAATAAAATCAGAGACTAATTCAATTGATAAGAGTTGTCTATCGCTGATAAGTCTTGACTCGTTCAATATGTAGTTTGAAAGAGTGCTCATTGTCGTTCATCTTGGTAGTTGTTTACCGCCCTGCAGAAGTTTCTTCCGACGCCTTTCATCGATCGTTTGAACAAGATGCTTCTCTTGTCAATATACAACCAAAAAACGATCTTCGAAGGAACTGTTCGATCGTACGCATTTTTTTCTGAGTCGTTTAGTTGTCTTGAGATTAATGCTGACATATTTTTATATGTACATATTCAGTTCCCTGATTCTCTTGCTTCTCGGAAGTTGTACAACACATAAATATAAGAGAATCTTTTTAATATATATGAAATAATTAAATTACATCATTGCACAATAATGCACTTCTCTGAATTTCCATGCCCGAGCTATTATAAATAGGTTTTGGGGCAAGGGAGGTTTGCACCGCCTTTATTTCTTCTTACTCTTTTTTCATGCTTTTTGTGATGTCTGACAAAGGAGTTTCGCCTTCCGAAAAAAGTGTCCCTCTTAAAGACATGAGTGATATGCGGGCACAAGCTCGTAAGTTAGACGTGAAGCGTAAGCCGGTGAGTGAGGTATCCACAGAAGGGGTGAGTAGAAAGAGAGTTTTGCCCAAGCCAAGAGCCGACAATCGTGAGAGCTGATATGGTTCTTTCGGTTTCCTAGCGGGCTCACTCCGGGAGAGGTTTGCAGGACAGGCTAGAGTTAGGCTAGAGGTCGTCCCGACGATCATCTTATGGGACACTTGCCAAAGGTGAGTGTTCTTGTTGTAGGAGAGAGATTATTTGTCTAGGTGATTGCGGGGTCGCGGTTCCCAGAGAGGTCCTAAGAACGCAGTGGCTGAGGCCAAGGCATGTCTTCGATCGACTAAGAGCAGTCATTCTTGTGAAGGTGGAAAACAAGGGTAAATTGCTGAGGCCATTTTTTCTTACACCACAACTGAATGGGGGTGGATTCTTGGTATGTAGCTTGATCTACCGTTTGCATCTTTTTTTCTCGGTGCAGCAACTCAAGCCCTGACTATCAATTCTATATCGGTAGATAGTGATGCTGGTCCTGAGAATGACTGGGCGGTTGTGGACTAAGTTGCGGTCGAGGGAGTGAATACGGAATAGGTTGTCGCGGGGAGAGCAGATATGGCAAAGCTGAACGCACTGGAGTAAGGTGCTGAGCGACATGTCGACATGGTGTTGAGGCCGTTTTTCTTCTTAAGGTGGAAGACAAGGGTAAGTTGCTGAGGCCGTTTTTTCTTACACCACAACTGAATGGGGGTGGATTCTTGGTATGTAGCTTGATCTACAATTTGCATCTTTTTTCCCGATGCAACAACTCAAGCCCTGACTGTCAATTCTATATTGGTAGATGGTGATGTTGGCCCTGAGAATGACTGGGCGGTTGTGAATCAGGTTGCGGTCGAGGGAGTGAATACGGAATAGGTTGTCGCGGGGAGAGCAGATATGGCAAAGCTGAACGCACTGGAGTAAGGTGCTGAGCGACATGTCGACATGGTGTTGAGGCCGTTTTTCTTCTTAAGGTGGAAGACAAGGGTAAGTTGCTGAGGCCGTTTTTTCTTACACCACAACTGAATGGGGGTGGATTCTTGGTATGTAGCTTGATCTACAATTTGCATCTTTTTTCCCGATGCAACAACTCAAGCCCTGACTGTCAATTCTATATTGGTAGATGATGATGTTGGCCCTGAGAATGACTGGGCGGTTGTGAACCAGGTTGCGGTCGAGGGAGTGAATACGGAATATGTTGTCGTTGGGAGAGCGGATATGGAAAAACTGAACACACTGGAGCAAGGTGCTAAGCGACATGTCGAGGATCAGATTGTTGAAGGTCAGAATGCTGGAGGTCAAGGTGTTGGAGGTCTGGGTGAAGGCCGTCAGGTTTCTTTTGGTGCTGCGAGGGGGGAGGAGGTTACCGGGGGAGGCGGATGTCGTGTGCCTTTTGACTTCATACTTCACCACCTTCTTGAGATGGAGGAGTGTTTTGTTCATTTTTTGGGGTATCCTCGAGGAGATGGTGATAGAAGAATTACTGAGGTTGTTGAGAGAGTCAATCAGGTGAAGAGGGAAGTTGTTGACTGCATGAGGAAATTGCAACTTTCTAGAGGGATAAATTTGTTGATCGTGGAGAAGTGATGTGCATGTGTTTGGAACTGTCAACAGTTAGAGATGTCTTTGCTGCTCAACCTAGGGATAGCTAGAATAACCTTTTCAGGAAGGATGACGAGTTTATGTATGAATGACATCGGCGTCAAAGTTTTATCTCGGGCGAAGCAATGAACAATTGCTTAGTTAGATTTAAAATAAAACATTTTTCTATTTCTTGTAATGTCTACCTTATTTGGGTACCAATGTGGTTTTGTCGCATCAGTCGTGTCGGCAGTGTTTCAGATTCCCAGATATCTTCTTTCCCATATATATATAATT